TGGTTGTTGATTATCATTCTTTCTTTCTTTTTTTCTTTTTTTTTGTTTTTGATTTTCAAAATATTTGTTAGGATTCATTGTTGAAAATTTTTTAAAAAAAATTAGATGTATATATCTCTTTCAATGTAATAAAAGCAGAAATAGTTTTATAAAATGAATCGGAAATTTTCCATACAATGGAAAAGTATTATCAAAAGAATATTAGTAATATTGAAGTGTATTCTACTGATGTCGACAGATATAAGTAGTATGTATCACTAATTAAAAGTGGAATGTCTAAAGGTAAAAGGTTGAGAAGATTGAAAAGAATAGAACAAGAATAGAGATTGATTGATATGGAATGTAGTATTTACTGTATGGTTCTTAGATTTTAGTAAAAGATTCTGTAATTTCGTATTCATGTACATTTAGTTGTCCCTAACTGTGTTCTTGTTTGCTACAATACAATCTTATTTAAATATAATAATTATGCAACATAAAACTTTTGAAGTATCACTGCAAATTCTGATAAACCAAACATCGAATTTACAACAGTTAAGACCATGTTTATAAAGTCTCATAAGTTACAGATTAATTAGATAAAAACATTTATGAAAAAGACTATTATCCATATTCTAATATTGAATCATTTTATAGATTAACCTTAGTTTCAAAATATTAACATGAGTATTAATAATAACCAAAGTATTATTTCTGACAATAGATCTTGATGATAAAGAATTGAATCTATGAAGCGGAATGATTTAACTTTGATATCATGACTGTTTGAACGATACTAACAGAAAAATGCAGCGCTATAGTTTTTTTTAATTATTGATTACTTTCAATCATTCAATACTTTAGACAAAATAAAAATGAACAGTTTTGACAACTTCATACATTTTCAATATAAACACTTCACTGAGGAACTTGAAAGTTTAACGTTTGATTGATTAGTTACTTTAAATAATATACGGTTATTTCTATCTTCAGTGATGATATTGATTTTGAACTGTCTGGGCATTACTAAAATTATTTCAATGTATTTCTTAAGGATTAACGATGGAATCCTTGAAGAGGATCTCTCTTCATTATATATTTGACTTGTATATATTTGATTCACTGTTGTTAATACATATTTTAAGCTTTAATTATTACATTTCTAATGGTATATAAAGTACCGTAATAAATACTTGAAAATTTTAAGTAGAGTAAGCAAAACTATCCAATATAACAGGTATATATAAGGGGATCAGCATGAATGCATATGTATTTAACTAATTTAACTCAAGTAGCAATCGATTTGCAAATAGATTCTTAGCTGATTGTGCCAGGCATACGAAGGATTTTCATATACAATCTTGTGTATTATCGAACTTCTTTTCAGTTTAATAGTCATATTTAAAAAAAAAACAATAATAGCTTAGAGGTATCAACTTTAATGACGAAAAATTTCATAGTTTATTACCCTACAGGAAATGTAAACATTTTAGGCATATTCTAACAGAACCATGGAAATGTTCTCTTACAATTCGAATGACACTTCTTAATTTCCTTGCCACTAGGACAAAAGATTTTGAAGGTAAATTAATAAGCTTTAGTACTAAGTACCTAGTTTTTAGCTTCTCAGGTATTTTATATCTTAGTACTCAAAGCTATTTGAATATGACTTTAATACAGACATCAGTAAATCATTAGATATTTACGAGTGATCTACGATTAAGAATAGTTTTTAGAATGGAGTTGCAGATATAGTCTTTTTATTAAAATCATAGGTTGATATAAGTCAGACAACCATTAAAACCTGGTGGCACTGGATAGCCTATTCGTTTTAGTATTTGACTTTTCGGCGATGCTCATCTATGATCCCAGAACTAGGGATAGAATCCAGGACCTCTGATCTCGCTCTTAGCGGGCTGTAGACTAAGCGTTCGCCGGAGCACCGAAGATCCTGGGTTCAATTGCAGCTCACTGGGGCGTGAATGAGTACAGCTCAGAAGCCCCATACCAGGACGAAGCGGCAGTTCAATGCTTTCAGGTTTTCAGTCGTTTTCTAACTTAAATCGATTCAGGATTTCAATAAGATTGAATTATTTTTAATCGATGGAATTTGCCTTTGCTACTATCCATTTTGACTTAAATATGTTCTTAATAATGGTGTATAGTACCTGTTAATTTCTAATTAATACGTCCCAGTCTAATAAAACCAAGTATAAGTCAATTTTATCAGGGAGATGACCAGACAAATGTAAAATTAAATAACTTTTCTGGATTACTGGTCTACTTAGAAGATTTGTTCTGAGTTATAAATTAGATGTAAGCAAACTGTGAACTAAGCGAAACTATTCATTGATTCAATTGACCTTTGGACATTTGTTGGCTATAAATTAGAGCGTCTTATTTCTCAAATGATTTATACATGTAATTTAATTACGAATAAAAGTGTAATAGACTATTTTCAAGAGACACCTTTATTTTCAGAATGGGGAATTGTGAAAATTGTATGATTTTAACAATTGGATTCACTAGTTTATCTAAGCTAGACCACCATTAAAAACCTGAAAGCATTGAATGGCCGTTTCTTCCTAATATGGGACTCCTTAGCAGTGTGTATTCATGACTCCAAACGTGGGACTCCAACCCAACTCTTCAATATTGGTCTAGCTTAGATCAACTCATGAATTCAACCATTAAATTTACTACCATCTCCACAAATCCCCAATCTGATGATAATCATGTGCTCACTAGTGACTAGCTTCAAGACATAACTTCTGGAGTTCTAATGAGAAGCCGTGACCAGCAGAGTCCGATCCGCATTGAGTGTGAAACAGACAACAAATGAAAAGTTGCTCAAGATCATATATACCATTATTTATTCAAAAATATGAAACATTTTAAAATCAGCGCATTATTATTTTACTTAAATTTAGAGCTGAATAGTGTTCTTTTTTTGAAAAAAAAAGCGCATAGATATACTTGTCTATTCCATGAAGTTATATCTGACAGGTTGCATAATATCCATTAGAATTGCCATTCAAAGCAAATGAAATGTGTAACTGGATAAATCTTTAAAGAAATCAAAGACATACAAAATACCATACATTGATCTTAAATAATAATATCTGTCAACTATTTAGTTGAAAGTTTTTTTGATAAACGTCACTTCCAATCTCCTTTCTAGATAATAAGTTGTCATGATAATAAAAGTTTCTATTCAGGTAATATTTGGTCATATATTCAATTGTAAATCTGTTTTAAATACATCGGATATTTAATGTTAACTACTACTCATTTGTAGCTTTTGAATAAGTTTATTTAAGTTAGTTTCGATTAACTTCATTAACGCATAAATCGTGTTTGTATAAATATACACTGAGAATATTTAGTTAAGTTTACAATCCAGAACGTAGGTTTCATCGTGTTTTAACCTTATCAACTAGATGTATTTGCATCCCAGTGTTCATAATCATAATGAGATTCCAACTTAGTACCTTTCACTTTAAATAACAATGATTCCCTGGATTCCACTGTTAGTTATCATTTAAATTTAACAAAAATATTATAATCAAATAACAAGATCCAGATGATCCATTGAGGATAATCATATACCAATAGAGACTGAGTAATTGCAGTTTGCAGTGTTAACAAATAAAAAATATAAACTCTTACAATAGAATAGTTTACACTAAGCATACTTAAAAAGCGCCTTTAGATCTGTTTTCTTGTATCAAGTTAAATAGTATGAAATGCATTGTCAAGATGTAATGCATAATGAAATGAATCGTTTCTTAATTATTCAGTAAGCTAATTGATTGAAAGTAAGATTATCATACATTTTTCATAAGACTAAATTATGTGAAAATTATCAACTTCATAAAAATTCTAATGACTGAATTCATGAGTCAATTAAAACTAGACCACCATTGAAAACTTGGAAGCACCGAACAGCTGATTCATCCTAGTATGGGACTCCTCAACAGTACGCATCAACGAAACGGCCATCCAATGCCTCCAAGTTTTCCATGGTGGTCTAGTTTCAATTGGCTCATGAATTCAACTATTAAAATTACTATAATATCCATTAAACCTCTCTGTGTTTATAAAAATTACTTGTGATATTTGTATCATGTTATATGCATATCATATTCACTGAAATTGATGGTAATAGTGACAATAATACACTGTAACGCATGCATAACGATTTATATTAATAAGTTAAACTATTAACATATTACGTAACTTGTTATTACTCTCATATAAATGTTATCACTTCCCGATTATTTTCGTATAATTTTATAATACCTATGTAACCCCAATTAAAACACATTAATTAAATAAATTTATTCCTATCCTTATTAATATTTCTAATGAGTAATACAGTCTTATGGCTTATCACATCAAAACTACTTATTTTAAACATCAAAGGTTTCTAATTTAGAAAATAATAAGAATAATACACTTGGTATATCACAACCAATATATATATATATATATATATATATATATATATATATATATCAGAAGGGGTTTTTGTGGATTTTACAGTAATTTCAATAATTGAATTCATGAGTCCATTGAAGCTAGATCACCATGGAAAACCTTGAAACACTGGAAGACCGTTGCGTCCTATTATGGGACTCCTCAGTGGTGTGAATCCATAATCCCGCCTCGCAAGATTCGAACCCACGTCCGTCCAATGCTTCTAGGTTTTTCATGATAGTCTAGCTTCAATTGATTCATGATCTGAACTATTATTATACATATTTGTTCTAGCATGTATAACTTAGTCACATATACCTTTTACCTTCATTCATACATTTCAGAAAGTAAATTTATGTATAATATCCTTATTAAAATATCAAATAAACGAAACGGCCGTCCAGTGCTTCCAGGTTTTCCATGGTGGTCTAGCTTCAATTGATTCATGATTTCAACTATTGGAATTACCAATTCTCCACAAAACCCTTTCTAGAAATAGATTCTTGACAATAATTTTTTTCTTTTTTTTTAAAAAAACTTACCCGGTAATTTTTCATTTCATCTGATGAACAAATTAAATTTCCTAATATTAAAGGTTTGATATCTTCAATTAAATTATTTTGTTGAATAGAATTATTTTCATTAATAAGTAGTATAGAATGATCATTATCTAAAATTGTATTATGATTATTATCTTTAATCAATTTTGTTATTGGAAGTACATTTTTCTCTAAACAATTTTCATTAATTATTGATTTTTCTGTTTTTAAAATATTTTGTTCTTGATATTGATTAGAATGATTTGGATTAAGATCAGTTTGAAATGGATCATATTCATAATCTTGACTTGATTTTATTTGTTGTAAATTATTATCATGATTATGATCGTCATTTTGATTATGTTGTCTTTCTATTCTCCTGACTTCTTCTTGTTTTAATTCATCAACTTTGTCCAAATGATGTTTGATCATAGAATTAGAATAATTATTGATATTAACTGTAGAAAAAGAAGAACAACAACAATAATATTTTGAGTGATTTTTTTTAAAATTTATAAATGTTGACTTGTTACTATGATTATTAATAATATTACTATCAGTAAAATTATTATTATTATTATTAGTAGTAGTAGTAGTAATAATATTAAGACATGTTGAAGTACTGAATGTAAGAGCTGTTAATTTTGTTATTGGATTATTATTATCATAAGTAAGATGATCTTGTGGCATAAGATATGATTGGTGATAACGTGTCGGATAATGACCAATACAGTAACTATGGTGATTGTTAAAATTTAGATGTTGTTTTTGTTGTTGTTGTTGATGATGATGTTGTTGTTGTTGATTGTGACGATTATCTATATCAACCAACTGAACAGTTAACATTTCAACTTGTATGCTGATATCATTCACAAAGTGTATATTTTCTATTGATTCTATGTGTCTTTTATATCTATATATATATTTCTAAAGATCGTCTGAATAATAATAATTATCCCGTAATTTTAATTTAGTCAAATCAGTGATCATTTAAATGTTAGTAGGTTTTGCAGTTGTGTTTATTTTCGTAATGAATTTACGTTATTTCTTTACTATGGTTAACATACAATTTATTAAATGTAAGCATTCATATATCATAGGAATGTTAACAATACTTTAAGAGCATTCTGATTGGTTAGCCTACATGTGTCAATCAACCAATTGAATTCTAGAGCGTATTTTTTGGGATGAAATTCATTTTTCATTTTCTATTCGTAGTTAGTCATTCGTAATTAGTCAAATTTAATAATAAATCTCTATATTATTCATGTTTACTATTTTTTTATGAGATACAGTACAAAGAAAATTTATCTATTTGTGGTTGATAATTTTTAGCCATCAACGATAGATCACATTGAAAACCTGAAAGCATCGGATGGCCGTTTTATTTTAGTATGGGACTCCTCAGCAGCGAGCGTCCACGATCCTGCATGTGGGATTTGAACTCTATACTGATAATTATCATGTGCTTACTAATGACTAGCTTCAAGATAAAACCTCCAGAGTTCTAGCGAGAAGCTATAACCAGTAGAGTTCAACCGTGTCTGGTGTGATGCAGTAACTCACTGAAGAAAATGGAGGACGGTCATTAGATGCCGGATCAGTTGTTTAGAGGTTAAGCGTTTGCGCGCGAGACCAAATGTTCTGGATTGAAATCCCACGTGAGGGGTCGTGGATCCGCACTACTGAAGAATCTCAAACTATGACAAATCAGCCGGCCAGTGCTTCCAGGTTTTCAATGATGGTCTGATCGTTTCATGATCCCACTTACACTAAGAATGATCGTACATAGAAATTGAACAATATTTTTAAGAATAGATAAATAACACTATACTTTCGTCATCATAGTGAAAATTTTATAAACTATATCACAAGATTTTGTAATAAATCGTAAACAGATCGATTATCTTACGATATAGCAGTGCGATCCTTACATAGCCTGTTACACTAATTGATTGTTATATGATCATTTTAGAAAACAATCAGTTCAACCAAACTACCGAAGACTTGTATCATTTAAGATGATAAATTTAATTCAAGTAATACTCTATAGACATTTAACAACTGTTAACCTGAAACAAAAATTTTACACATGGGATCGAAAACACGCTAAGCACATACTTTCCCGATTTTTGTATAAAAAGAAAGTCCGGTAGAACTATCATAAAATCTGTTTACAGAAAACCTTCATAAAATGGCCAGCTGTCAAGCTTACACAGCTGAATCCCTATTGGAAGACGGAAAAATTCAGTTACATCTATTGCCACACAAGTAAGAAGAATTTGTAGTCCATGATAAATTGAATCTTAAAATGGGTATGTCCACAGAGAGTTATTGATGAGAATATAAAATTCAAACCTCTGAAATTTAAAAAAAATTAGCCTCCTCATAAAAAAATCCCTGTTCTGAACATCTATTTCAAAAGTGGAAACATCTTGAAAGGAAGCAATTTTAGCTCTACCTAAAGAACTTTCTTAGAAACCTTTAGGTAAGCATTCTCTTGCCGATTAACGTTCATAAACAAGTCAAAGCCTAAACTCTCACATGTGATCACTTTATATGCACTTATCACATTATCTAGTTTTGTGAAGCAAGATATATAGGTTGTTTGATGCATGTTCCACCGAAGATTATTTCAAAAAATTATCTAGCCGAAGTGAGACGGAAGAGATTCAAAATGAAGTTCTATAATCAAACACCGTATGAACATAAACCATCCACTCAAAACGGACAGTATTTAAAGTCGTTTACAAGATTAATAGAAAGCTATTAAAGATAATGAGTTTCCGTTATACATTTTGAAAACCCAGAATTATGTATGCAAAAGAAACTTATTTAGTAACTTTCACCATGGTCCTAATCTTTAGTTTTCCAAAACCATTACCTCTCATCAAATATTCTTCTCGATTGACCTGTTAGCCCCTGATAGTCTTGTTTCTGCTTTTATTTTCTTTTCGACCACATTTTATCTTATCGTAGTACTCAACCCATCATCATAATTATCAATCATCATCTATTTTGTTAATAAACTTCCAAACTCTCAGCAACTATGCTTTCGATCTTCTAATAAGAATAACAACTTTCGGTTTTTTCTTATTTTGCCTCACTGTTATCATGTTTAATAAATCCATTATTATTTTCATCAGTATCAATAGACATTATATAATATACCCTTGTGGGCCAGGGTAGACACCGTCCAGGCTTTAACGTGACGATCCAAAAACTACAGCTCATGACCGTTTACCAGGAGAGCCAGACACTGTATGGGCTTTAACGCTACAATCTAAATAGTACAGCCCAATCCTGTGGCGCAACCACACAGGTACCAAGTACCCTGGTGGACCATTCGCACCATTCATATACACATTCACATCACATGTGTAGTTATTCCGATCAATGATCACGTGAATCAATGATGCACAACATGAACAGGCCATAGTTGACCTATTCCGACTACACGATAGTCAAACTCATTAATGTTAGCAATAGCGATATGCCTTACAATAACCTAATGACAATGGCCCTCGAGAACACTGAAAAGCAGTCAATAGACATATTATGGACTATAATTTTAGATTATATACATAGTCGTACAGCTTCAATAATGAATTTTTCCAAGAAAATCTTTACTGAATCAGTCTTTTTTGTTTTTATCCTTAAGTTCTTTACTTAAGACTAAACTGAATCAAACAACAAGTTAGACATCTTCATTGAATCAAATTAAAATTGTTCGATGATGTAATCATGCACGATTTTGAAAAATATTATTATATCTGTATTCCTACTTAGCGATAACAGTTCTACAGTAATACTTTTTTTTCATTATATCTTTGGATAATGTGAGATATAACAGTAACCAAAATTGTAAATAAACCTTGATAATGAATCCACAGAATCACAGATCTCAAATGTAATGCTATGTAACTATCGTTTTTGATAGAACTGAAATGATCTCTTTTTGTTGATAGAACCAATATTAGTTGATTGAAATTATACTAAAATTTATTTTTTCTATTATGCCTTAAAATAATAATAGGGCTTAGCACTAACTTTAATACATTAAAACAAATTAATTGAATTAAGTAACAATGGGTTAACATGAAATGCGATCTTGTGAAATATTGATACATTATTCAGAAGGATCTTAACTAATACCTGATTTAGACCTAGAATTTCACATAGATTATTTCCAATCAATCAATTCAACTCTATCATCCATAAAATTAACCCTATAAATATTGATTTTTATTCATCAAACTCAACTTATTTAAACAATTTACAATTAAAAGATAAAATAAATTTCCCCCAAAAAAATTAGACTATTTAAATTTACCTCCAAAAAATTTATTCAAATTTAGTAAAAAAAATTAAATTCAATAAAAATATATTAATAATAAATTACTTACTTGTAAATCATTATATTAATTTTCTTTCTCTGAATTTATTTATTATTTTTTTCAAAAAAAATCTCGTTGATCTAATTGATAGTTTGTTTTTGTTTGACGATGGGGGGGGGGCGGAAAAGAAGAAAACAATACTAACAATACTACTACTATTGTTATTATTACTACTACTAATAATAATAATAGTAATAAAACACCTACACTCATGAACCAATCGCTTTAATCAGTTGAATATATAAGAAATTTTTTTTAACAATATGATTCGATTGTACTTCTTCTTTATTAGTTAAGAGAAAATTAAAATGGATTAGAAGAAACATACTATACTTTGGGATTAGTTTTTCTTTTGTTTAAAAAAAAAGAGAAAAAAGAAAAGACAGTAATAACAATTCTTTCCTTCATACAGTAATAGTAATAATAATAACTTGTTATTTATGAATATAGGTGTATACTTTATGATGTAATTATTATTTCGTAATAATTTAATGTCTCCTACTCTGGTTAAGTCATTATATCTTATATGATTATTATTATTATTATTACTAGTAGTAGTAGTAGTAGTAGTAGTGGTAGTAGTAGTAGTAGTAGTATTAGTACATGATAACCAATAGGACTAGTGTTCAGCTTCACTTGTCAGAATTCTTTCGCGCCTATACATAAGAAGTATGCATATACAGACATATATATATATATATATATATATATATATATATATATATATGCTGTAGCAAATGCTACTTTTTTAACATTGAAAAAATTGTTTAAAATATGGTAAATATTGTGTTGTTGTTCTTTTTTATAAAAAAAACCATATTTCTTATGTTCAAAATTTATCGATTCCAATCTAGTGACACTTCATTAATATAAAATTTGTCACTAAAATTATCTCAAAACTTCCACTAAAACCTTTTAACTAATAGGCGGATGATTTATAATAAGATAGTATATATCTATGAAGATAAATCTTCTTGGAAGATAGTTTACATTCTAGAGTAGGCTAGTCTAGATGGTTAGTTGAAGAAATTACTAAGCTCAGGAAAATAGTTTATTTCAAAAGGATTTTTAAGAATTATTAGTTTATAAGTTGTATTGATCATAGATAAATCTCAGTAAGGATACTAATGAAATATAGGGAACACTGGGTGATTATTATGTTTCATTGGCGAATGGTGGAGAATTTTATTGATTGAATTGTGGCGCGATTTCGTGGATTAATTTAAGTTGGACATGAATACCATTGGATGTTGATTCAGTGGTTTAGAGGTTGAGCGTTTGCACAAAAGACAGATAGGCCCTGGGTTCAGATCTCGCAGGGAGGAGGGATCGTGGATGCGCACTGTTGAGGAGTCTTATACTAGGATGAAACAGCCATCCATTGCTTCCATGTTATCTATGGTGGTTTAGCTTTAATTGACTCGTGAATTCAATTATTAAATAAGTAAT